ATACAAGTTAGGAATAGTTAAAATTTGTGTAGTTATTACTCACTTTTCCGAATTTATATTATTTGCCACTCTATATTTAATTTTTTTTATATTATTTATCGTTTTGTATTTTTAATATATATTTATGATTATTTTTTTTATTTTTAGCTAATTAATTGTACATATCAATCAAATAAGTTAAGAGTTAAAAAAATTTTTTTTTTTTAATTTGTGTGAAAATTTTTAAAATGATAACTAAATTGAAACGAAAAAAATTAAATCGGTGATGAATCATTGGGCCAGTTTGAGTAACGTATTCTGCCCGGAAGCATAATTCGACATCATTTAATTTTATTATCAGTCTACTAATTCATTTATTCTAACACTGCATGTAAAATGGCCTTATGGCCACCAAAAGAAACAAATTATGGGAATTCATTATATATATGTAGATGCTGTTCTATAGTCTTTCCCAAATTATTCGTCAATTATACGACAAATCAGTTAGAATTCAGACAATACAGTTAAGAATACCTTTTTTTTTGTGTGGTTAAGACTTAAGACGCAGTTAAGATCTATCTACCGTGTCTTAATCTTTCTTTATTTATTTTGTAGTACTTGTAGAGTTCTACAAACGAAATGTACTCTCATGCACGGGTTGGATCTTTACTAATAATCCACAATACTTATATATGTAAAGAGATATTGAGAATCTCGATAAGTTGATGTGGAGGAGCCACTAAAGATGATCAGGTAATTAGTTTTGTGCATTAGACCAACACTAAGAAACGAGATCATTTTTCTAATCGTATAAATTTTTCCACTTTCCATGATTTAATTAGAAAAAACAACCAATTTACGCTTTAGCAACGATGTTTACAAACTACACAGTCACACATATACGCTTTTTAAAACTTTAAACCAGATTACGATCAATCATTGTCTCATCAAAACCTTCTATTATACATTGGTAACAAATAATTGGAAACCTTTAGGCTTTAAGCCTTTAAGTGTGTATAAAACTCTTGTATATCTTTATTTTGGGTGGCCGACGGTGGATTATTAGCTAATAATTCCACTATAGTTAAATATAATATAATTATATTTTGAGTAATACGATTATATACGTATAGACTCCATGTGGGACCCCTTAATTCAAGCTCCAACTCACATGTAAAAAGCTGATTACAATAGAATGTATTCTTTTTTCCTCCTTCCATATTGTAAAGTATATAAACAATTATACTATTCTTATCTTTATCAATTAAAAACCCCAAGTCTATATACAAATATACAGTCTTGAAGAAGTATATCATTCCCATGCACCCTCTTACCAAAATAAAGACCAACATATATTCACCAAATTTATATCTCATTTCGTCGCTCAAAAACTCTTTTATTCAATTCTCAAATCTCAAAACAACTGATTTCATCATGCCGGAGAAGACTCACCGTTCAAAACCTCTTGCCGTCACTATCCTCACGGCGATCGCGTTTCTTGCGTTTCCGATAATCATCAACGCATTAGATTCAACATCAGTCGTTAGAAAACTCGAACAGGAACCAATAAAGTGCACACCTTGTCTCCAGAACAT